TAGACCCGCGGAGCACGGTGGAGAAGGTTAAGCCCGGGTGCCGGGCTGAGGAACGTGCTGGGGGAGGGAACGGACCCCCCGCATGCTGGGCACACAAAGGTGGCACGGACGAACCGCTGGAGGCCGGGTAGGCCCCAGGGAGGAGTGGCTGCCAGGGTTCAAGGGGGAGAGAGTGAGAGGAAGCAGCCCAGGGCAGAACCAGGATATGGTTGGTGGGCTGATGAGTTGCGGCGGGAAGCCCCGTCAGCTGGACTGGACCCTGACTGATCTGAGTCCTTAGGGCCCTGGGCTGGGGCCCGTGAGTGAGGGTGGGCCTGGGCCCCCTCTCCTCCCTCCTCCCTGGGACAGAGAGCAAGAATATCACCCGCGAAGGGTAAAGACTGTTGAACTGTGGATGCCAGTCTGAGACGGTACTGTGGGTGAGGTGGTGGGAACTTTCTAAAAGCCCTGGTGAGGCAGCGAGTGAACAGATAACCTAGCGAGCTCGCCCTGACAGTCACAAGGTTCCAGGCACCAGGCTCTGTAGAATGGATGGACCCCTCGGGCAACTGCTCCCTTTGTGTCCATGTCCGTGTCCATCTCCACCTCAGCAGGCCTGATCACAGCTGTGTGTCTTGCTGACACTGTCACATTGCTGGTTTATGCTGCATTTTCAAGCCCTCTGGGAGCAGTGTCAAACAAAACTTCCTTTTGTGCCTGGTGTTCCAGGCCTTACAGAGAAATTTGTGGGCATCTTCCAGAAGAGCCCCCTGGGCGAGTTTATTTCAAGTCTGGCTGAGCCAGAAAGGAACATGCTCTTCCACTGCTATGTCAGAGACTTCGTTCTCCTGAGCATAGGCGCGTCCTCGACTGACGAGTTACAGGTGAGTGTTTGAACCAAAAGCCAAGAATAATTTAGATGTGGGGGAGCAGAGCTTATTTAATACATGATGCTAAGGAATGTACACTAGATCACTCACCTAGTCTCTGTCTTGTGGCAATGACCTGCAGTTGAATAGCAGCAAGAAAGGTACGACTAATGCTGTTTGCGGTGAAAGGGCAGTTTCAGGTGGTTGGAATATTACTTTCAGAAAGTCACTTCTGGTAGGAGCACATGGGGACACTGACAGGACAGATAGGTTAGACAAACATCTATCAGGAATAAACTAGATGGTGCTTTGTCCTGCCATGAGGGCAGGGGACTAGACTTGACCTCTTGAGGTTCTAGTATTCTATGAATCTGTGATAGCATATTTACCAAATGCACTTAACAACAAAAGATTTGTAAAGCCCTGCAAATCTGCAGGTACCTTTATCCACACCTATGGATGCAGATGTCCACGGCTCATTTTTGGGGATGCGGATACAAAATTTGCATCTAGAACCCTGCATATTTGTGGATATCCATTTTCTATTCACAGGTATGTCAATGCAGATATCCGTAGCTCATTTCTGCAGATGCAGATAGAAAATTTCATATCTGCCCAGGGCTCTAAATATTTGCTCAGTTTAAAAAAAATATATGTTTTAAGTAATGTTCTGTGTATAGCCTTGATTAATAAAGGAGTGCTCTTACAGGAATTTTGGGAATAGAGAAAACTGTTTCTTTACTTTCTTTTAAACATTCAGTTTCTGCAGATGGCCCTCTTATCGTGCATTGAGGAATTGAAGGCAGCATCTATGGGAGGAGAAGAGAAGATGCTTTCCCTGCCCTGGGTCCACCTGGGGTACCATCAGTTTAGGAGCCGGCTGCAGAACTTCTCCAGGATTCTGGCTGTGAACCCCAGTGTGCTTATTGCTCTTTTCTACCAAACTGAGATGGGAAACACGTCACGTCATGAGATGGTACGGTCTCTGGCATGCTGTGATTCTTAGCCTTGGGAGGAAGAGTTCCAATTAAGGATGTTTAGGACTAGTTGACTAGTCGACTATCCGACTAGTCGATTTCGGCCCCCCTTCCCTCCCTCCACTGCTGCCTGTATAAAATAGAGGCAGCAAGGTGGGGGAGGGAAGAGAAGGGGTACTTCAAAGTGACAGGGTTAGAGGCAGCAAAGTGGGGGAGGGAAGAGAAAGGGTACTTCAAAGTGACGGGGTCTCTTATACATTTCAAAGTAGGCACCTGCATGCAGCCCAGAGTCAGAGGGACTTCCAACCAGCCCCAGGCCGCACACAGAGTTCCTCATTCCTCCTTTGAAATGTACAAGAGCCCCAGCAGGGTCCCAGCAGGGGCTCTTGTACATTTCAAAGGAGGAATGTGGAAGTGCTTATTGACAAGTGAGTAGTCGATGGAAATTCCATTGATTACTTGACTAGTCAGTTAACCGCAATTTAACATCCTTAGTTCCAACTAGCATAGCTCCCCTACTATAGGATTTCAGTTCCCTTTGACCTGTCTTTGCACTTGAGCAGTAATACAGCACCTGTAACAGTGGGAACGGAAAGAAACATGGATTTTTCATATCCTGGATATTCAACCCATTATCCGATCTCCCCCGTAGTAAGGGTAAGGAATAGATAATTGACCACATTCCGGATTAACCTATGAGATCTGCTAATGATCTGAGCCAGGGTGCACAAATCCTGTAAGTCCAGGACCATAAACCAGTATGCACAGTGCTCACGAGTAAACCTACAATAACCAACCAGAGCACAAAGGAGGTGTGAAACTGAGCCAGGGAAGATGATGTTACTTTTCCTAGCTGCCTAGTTGTTCCAAAGCCCATGTGTGCCCGTGTGTGTCTAGGATCTGGATGTGTTTGCTGCCATGGCTTGTGCCGAGATGCTGGAGGATCAGGTGTTGAAGTCCAAGCCACAGACTTGGCTACAGCAGGTGAAGACTCTTCATATGCCCATTGAACTTGTCTGTCTGGAGAGCTGTTCAAAGAATAGCAGAAGTCGGTGCCACCAACTACTCCAGGAAGTCAGGTTAGTAACATGATTCCACTAAGGATCTCAGTCTCTTTGTATCTTGCTCTTCAAAGGGAGAGTGTCTAATATGGACTGAACGTAGCTACAGTACTCTCATTCCTGGACTGAAACCCCGCCAGGGTTACTGTCACTTTGGCAGAACATCGCCAAGCCTCTCCAACTCAGTAGATGACATTCCAAATGGAATCAAAGATCATTTTAAAACTCTGGATGCAGTCCGTGGGCGGGGGCTGGTACTTGGTAGACTGCCACTGTTGAAGTAACTACTCCTCCACACATGAATTCCTCATGTACACCAATGCTGACAGACATTTGGAGCTTTACCCCATCCTCTCAGAGACCAATCCTAGACCGTTCAAAGTAAACGAGCATCTTAAGGAAACTGGAGCAAGTGAGGGTGAGGGAAAAACCTGATAAATAATGGAGATCTCTTATTAGCTCTACGATATAGGAATCAAGCCTGAATAGGGTTGTCTTTATCCACAATCTAGTGAGTGTAGGGTTGTTTCCTTATGTGGTGGCTAGGACTCTGCTGTTCTGGGCACTACCTAAAGAAACAATTGAAAGGCAGCCTTTGTCCCAAGAAACTTGCAGTCTAAGGGTACATCTAGACTACATGCCTCTGGCGACAGAGGTATGTGGGTTAGGCTACCCAGCATAGGAAAATCAAGCCACGATTTCAGTAATCGACGCTTCATTTAAATTTAAATGGCTGCCGTGCTGAGTTGATCAGCTGTTTGTCGGCTCAGCGCGGTAGTCTGGACGCTCCACGGTCGACCTCAAAGGCATTTGTCGACCTCAGAGGCATTTAGTCTGGACGCTCCACGGCCTCCTGGGATGAGGTTTACCTGGGAGGTCGACAAATGCCTCTGAGGTCGACAAATGCCTTTGAGGTCGACCGTGGAGCGTCCAGACTACCGCGCTGAGACGACAAACAGCTGATCGGCTCGGCGCGGCAGCCGTTTAAATTGAAATGAAGTGGCGATTATTTAAATCATGGCTTCATTTTCCTATGTTGGGTAGCCTAATCTACATGCCTGTCGCCAGAAGCATGTAGTCTAGACGTACCCTAAGTATGGAATGAGACAATACAAGAAACAATTGAGTGGAGCACAAGGAACCAATGACACTGTGCTCGTAAACATGAAAAGCAGTGGTCAGACCCAGGCCTGACAATACGGAGGAGCGAGGCAACTGGCCCAGGGCCCAGTGATTCAAAAGGGACCAGGGTTCCCAGCTGCTGCTATTCCAGCAGTGGTAGCAACTGGGGCCCCGGCCCTTTTATATTGCCACCAGAGACCTGCATGGCATGCTCCAGGCAGCTCTGAGTGCTGGGAGGCAGGATGCTGCGGTCCCCAGCCCTGCCCCTTCTGCCTAAAGTCCTGCCATTTCTGGGAGTATGGAGCTCCACTAGCTGCCCCCCTCCAACACATGCCTTGTCCAGGGGGCCCGTGGAGGCTGTTGGTTTCCCTGGGCATGTTGCAGTGACCTGACTTGATCTTTGGATGTTGCCTTTTCCTTTCCCCCTCCCTAATTCATTCATTTCAGGCGTGGGACAGTATTGTAACTGTGCTTCCTATTTGACAGGGTTCGGTGGAATCGGGTCTTCTCTGTGTCCCTCTTTGTGGAACACATGCTGCTTGGGGCTGAGTCTCTGATTCCAGAATTGCGGGACCTGGTAAAGAGACACATCTCGCTGCTAGGCAATGTAAGGACACTCCCCTTAAGCAGTATTTGGGGCTGAAGGAGGGGGGTCTTTCCTCTTTCTCACAGCTTATTAGAATGTGCTAAAGGAGCTCTATGCAAAACCAGCTCCTGGCCATTCATCACAGACAGAGCTGGGTAAATAATTTAGAACAGTGCGTTTAACACTTCTCACCTCTCCTCTTCATGAATTGCCTGCAAACATTGCCATTTCCTCAAGTTGTCCTTCAGAGAGTTTCCCAGAGCCAACAACGAAGCTATAGGGGGCTGAACCAAACCTGGCAGTCTGTGGAGTGGGCCAGAGACCTGCCCTCTGAAAAGCCCCTTCTAGTTCTGATCTGCAGGCTGACATGCAGTCAGGTTTCCTGTGTGCAACCAATCAGAAACCCTGCCTCAGATACCAAGACTCTTTTGTGCCCATACATTCGGAGCAGCGGAGTTGCCTGTTTTGCTGAGGCAGGGTAGCGGTGTGCTATACTGCTGGAGAGGCCAGGTGGCCTGCACGAAGGACCCGCTCTCTGGCATCTCTGGCTGATTTCCTCTCCTGAATGAAGGAACCATGTCCCTGCAGGCCCCACTCCCAAGGGATGCCCCCCACCTCCCTTTTCCAACGTTGAGTCACAGAAGCAGGCAAAGGGAAAAACCGGTAAAGGTACAGGCCCCACTCCCAAGGGATGCCCCCCGCCTCCCTTTTCCAACGTTGAAGCAGGCAGAAGGGAAAAACCGGTAAAGGTGTAAAATCTGCACCCAGCGGGGAGCCCCACAGGAGTGCTTGGAAGGCCACCCAGCCCCCTGCTCCCACAGCTCCTGCAACTCCCGAGGCCTCTGCCTGCCCTCAGCATGTCAAGCCAGCTGCTTGTCCCTATTCCACACAGCATGGTGACACACGGCTGTGCCAGCGGGCTGCATTTGAGGGGTTTTCCCTCCGCTTGTTTCTCCTGTCTCTGGATGTCTCCGTGTAAAGCAGCAGGGTTGCTGATTGTTGCCCTCCCTTTCAGTGTCTTCAGTGGGACTCTGACATCAAGACTCATAAAACTTTCACTGCAGTGATGAAAGTGCTGTGCCAGTGCAAGGAGGAAGCCAGCGCAACCATCTGCAAGTAAGGTCACTGGGACAGGCATGCTCCCGAAAGGGGAGTGTGTACGTTTACACGAAGCGTTTGAGAACTTTGTATTGCGCTTGGAACAGACAGTGTAGCATGCAGAGTATGTGGACTCAGAGGTGGGGAGAACATAGTTCAGTCAGGACAGTGATGCAGGCTGAGCCTTGGGGGAGAGGTTTCCATACAGAGTTTGTTGGGGTGACCCTCTCGCGAGACTAATTTTCCCAAGTGTTTTTCCAATGTGTTATACACCAGGCTGACTTTCATGTATCCACTTATTTCCCTCTTCCTTCCCCAAGCATGAGGTGCCTCACTTGTGAGCCTATGAGATTCAGCACTGATTGAATGAAATTTGCTGCTGTTGTAGGCATAAAGTATAATGGGCCAGATTTATCCTTGTGTAACGAGTGACTTGAATATGTGGGGTGAACTTTACCCTGCCGTCCTAGAGCAGTGGTGGGCAACCTGCAACTCAAAGGCTGTGCGTGGCCCATTGGGTTTTATGTGCAGCCTACAAAACGTTTTGTCGACTGTTGCTCGTGTGCAGGGTTGCTGGATTTCTCTGGTTTCCCTCCATGTCTGGTATTTGGGTTTGATTTTGTGTACTGGTATTACTAAAGTGACATGCATGTAAGCAAGAGCCGTGAATTGAGGTGCATGCTGATTGCACACAACATTGTGAGAGCCATGCACTCCCTCTGCAGCCAATCAAAGCACTGCTATGGTACAGTCGGCTCCCCCTGCAAATGCTAGGTACACAAGCGCAGTCAGCAAAACTACCCTCGTCTGGGGGACAGTCTTGGTTATGACAATCTTACAGCCCACTGAGATGAAGGAGGGTCACTCATGCAGCCCACTCACTAGCCTGGGTTGCCCATCGCCATCCTAGAGGCTATCTCCCTGTGGCCTAGGCCAGCCGGAGGCTCTACCGCATTTGGATTTGAAAATGTCTCTGGACAGGGGAACAAAATTCCCTTTTGGTCACTGGGGTTTTGGTCACTGGGGTCCTACCGCATTTGGATTTGAAAATGTCTCTAGACAGGGGAACAAAATCCCCTTTTGGTCACTGGGGTTTGGTCACTGGGGTTGGTGATTTTGTTGCAAGTACTTCTATGTGCTGAGCTGCAAAAATAAGCAAATAAAATGAATAGATTGTTCCATATGTTACCTTAATTTTCCGTGTGGCCTAATTGTGGTGGATGCTTGCAAATGCCAAGGCACTGTTCACACTGAGCTGTAGCTGCTACTTCCCAGCCTGTTGGATGGACTATGCTGTAACCTTGTATTCATCTTGGGGAATAAAATCAACTTGCTCTGTTACCCTCTTCCCTGACCTTGAGAGAGGTGACAGAGACACCCAGTTTCCCTCCTGTGATCCTTTATCCTGCGGGGCTGACAGCCACCGCAGGCCAGAGGGCAAGGTGTATGGGGGCTGGCTCTGCACCCTTGGAAGGGGTAGGGGCAGTACAGCCATCCCTCAGCACCACCCGGAGTGTGGCACTCAGAGCCACGCAGCACACCCGGTATGGTGCTCCAGTGCTAATTCAAAGGGGGGGTTCAGGGTTCCAGCCCCCACTGCTGCCACAGTAGCAGTGGCCAGGAGCTCGGGGCCCTGCTGCAATTGTCCCCCCTGTCGGTGGGTCTGCCTTGATCTGAGATGCAGCAGAAGGCTCTGTCGGGATTTGCTTGGATTTACTAGTGTTGATTGCATTACAGGTATGGTCTGAAGCCATGTCCGATCTGTCTGGAAGACCCTAAGGATCCAGTCAGCCTGCCTTGTGATCATGTCTTCTGTCAGAGTTGCATCAAACAGTGGCTGATCCCGGGGCAGATGTACTGTCCATACTGCAAAGTTAACCTGCCAGATGACTACAGAGTAACCATCTCCCAGGAGCTGAGGTATTCCACCTGTCCTCGGACAACACAGCATCAGTCACCCTGCAGCAGGAGATAATTGGGCCAGTTGTGTAGGGGACCCTGACCCTCAGCACTGAAGCCCTACGTTCAGAAAGAGTTGGCAGGATAAATTACACTGGGCTCCATTTCCTCTCTGCCCGGTGGTAAAGGTATGGCGAGGCATTTGTCTCATTCCATTCGAGGCTTTGTCTCTGCTTGCTGGAGGATCTACAATCTGGTGATCGATCTTCTGGGGTTCAATTTAATGTGTCTAGTTAAGACCCTCTAAATCGAATGCAGAGGGTGCCCCCATTGATGTCCATATTCCTTGTCATGAGGAGTAAGGGAAGTTAGCAGGAACATTTCTCCCGTCGACTTCCTGCTGGAGTTGCATATCTTGCATCAATTCTCTCGGCAGTGTAGACCTGGCCTGAGGCATTTCTGTTTCATGCTACTCAGTGAAGCAAAAGTGCTATTAGTGGCTGAATCAAATGGCTGAACTACTCCTATCTTGGGTCACTATTTTGTGCTTTTAGCAAGAAGTCAACAGTAATAGTGTCGGGCCAGTGGCTAGAAGATGACAAATGACAGTGGGTTGCAGTCTTGGTAGATAATAGTGCTGAGAAATACCTTGTAATAATGCCTCGTTGAAACTCTGGCTGTCGATACAGAGTCTTGTTTTGCTGATAAAATCACTCTGTTGGCCCCAGGCATCTGAGGTTTACCCACAGTGTCAGAGACCGAGTTTGAAGCCGGAAGGAATCACTAGATCGTTTAGTCTGATCCATGTAGCAGTGCTGGGCAATATAACTGATTCTGCCATTGCCTGGCCACCTTAGCGATTGATTTTCCTTTCCCACTGTTTCCTCAGTGTTGCAATAAAGAGGAATGCCCAGTTTCGCCAGATGTGCAATAACTTCTTCTTAGATCTGGTTTCCACCGTGTGTTTCAAAGACAATGAACCCCCAGAGAAAGCAGTGATCCATGAGCTGCTTCGCCTTCTGTTTGTTCGCCGGGAGCCTTTGAGCCTGGGCCCAAAAAGTAAGCTCAGTTCCTCCTGCCAGTGTCAACTGCTTGGTTGATGCTGTTCGCCTGAGTCACGGTTTTTCTCTGTGTTCAGATTTCCACGGTGTGCACACAAAATTGCTGTCGCCCTTTGACGACGTGGTGGACAAGACTCCTGTCATCCGCTCAGTGGTGCTGAAGCTGCTTTTGAAATACAGGCAAGTTCAGTCAAAAAGCTGATGGGTGAAGATAAGTCACATGTTCTCCTTAACTTTTCCACCAGGGCACTTTCTCCCCTTGCCCTTTGGTCCCAGAATGAGGGAGAATTTTAGCCAGGTTTGAATCTTGTCCCGTGGATACCAGCCTTTGCTAGTGCATCCACCCCAGGGTTGGGCACGCTGGGGGTGCATTTGTGGGGACAGTATCTTTTCATGCCCTGCATTTGAGAATATAACATAAGAATGGCTATATTGGATCAGACCAAAGGTCCCTGTAGCCCAGTATCTTGACTATTGACAGTAGCCAATACCGGATGCTCCAGAAGGAGGGAACACAACAGGTAATCCTCATGTGATCCCTCTCCTGTCACCCATTCATAATGGAATATGTATCCATTAGGGATGTTAAAAGCGGGTAATTCGGTAACCATGGAATTTCAGCGGTTACACAGTTACATGCTCCTGCAGTGTGGGGCGGCAGCAGATCCCCAGGAGCCTGTGTGTGTTTATCAGCTGCCACCCCACGCTGTTGTGTCTGTATCTGAGATAGCAGTGTGGATCAGCAGATGGATCCCTGGGAGCCAGTGGGCACGAGAAGCTGACTCTTGGCATGTACTGGCTCCTGCCTGCTGGCTCTACGCCCAGGGAGCTGGGTGCTGCCCTGTGCTGCAGGCTCTGATAGAGCCAGCAGTGCAGTGTGGCAGCTGGCTCCCTGGGAGCAGGGCGGGAGCTTGCATGTAACTGTTCATGGTAACTGATAAGCCCAGCCTTACCCTATTTCATCCCTAGTGTCCAGCCAGTCCTGACCCCTACGTGAGCTAATCCGGAGCTACTCCTGAGCTCTGTGCGAGAGAATTCTTAGGAAAACTAAAGAATGAAGCTGACACATGGGGGGGGGGGGGGGGGGGGGAAGATTGTGTTTAAATTACTCCCTGGATGCTGTGCACCTCTCACAGAAAGAGACTGTCACACCTAGAAAACCTGCCTTCTAATTAAGTAAGCATGTCTAGTTATCAGCATCTCTGTCAGCAAATCCAGCATGGCAGTGTTAGCCCCACACAGAGGAGGAATTGCCACAAATGGTGCCTGTGCTGGTTTCTCCAGTGCTAGATTTGGAATAGAAAGTGAGAGGGCTTTTCACTCTGCTAGTGGTCCCCAAGCAGTAGAGCATCATTCATAGATCTTGGAGCCTCTGACGGGACCTTGACTGGTTTGGCCTGGAGGCTGTCAAGTGTTGGCACTTCAGCTGCCCCTCCTCCAGTAATACTGCTAGGCTGCTCCTGACCTCTGCCTCGGAGCTGCCTCCCCAGAGCCTCCTGCTTACTGTGCAGGGCAAGGGAGGGCGAGCGAGGGGTGGCCGGGAGAGGGCGCTGATGTCAGGGTGCCCCTTCACTCCCCTTTGTCCCGCATAATCTGTCTCCACAGAGTGGGAATGGGCACAACAGGGCTTGGAATGGAGAGAATTTGCTGGCTGCTTTCAGGGGTGGCATAGGGCCATGTGAGTCTGCCTTAGCCCCACTGCACCACCACCCAGGAGCCACCTGAGACAAGCAGTTCCCAGCTGGAACCTGTCTTCCAAACCCATCCCAGCCCTGAGCTCTCCGCACCCAAACTCCCTCCCAGAGCCTGGACCCTGAACCCCAACTCTCTGCCCCAGGCTCAGCTCAGAACCCCTCCCACATTCCAGATCCCACAGCCCAAGACCAGAGCCTGTGCCCCAACTCTGCCCAGCCTGATAAAAGTGAGTGAGGATGGGAGAGGAATAGAGAGAACAGGAGCAGGGCCCCAGAGAAGGGGCAGGAAGAAGGTGGGGCCTCAGAAGGGACGGGAGAGAGGCAGGGCAAGTGTGTTTGCATTTGGAGTGGCTCCTGGATTGCACTTAATTCAGGAAGTGATCTTGTTCTTAAAAAGGCTGGAGACCACAGCTCTCTGCAGGCCTCAGTCCTTAAGTGTTGTGTCTTTGTGCCTCTTCTGTGGCTGGGGGTCTCGTTTTAAAGGAAGCCATGAGAATGCCTCTGGAAATGGCCAAGGAGAGACAGTGCAGAATTTCTGCGTTTCGCTTGGAAGCCGAATTAGGTTGTCATGTTACCTGGCCAGCCTTCACAGAGCATAGGCTGAGGTGTGATGGCACATGGTCTGGCTCATATCCCCAAGATAGCCGTTTGGGGATCAGAGATCCCATCTGACTCCAGCACTGACCTCTCTTCACTCTTCTTCCTTCTCGCTGGCCCTGAAGTGAACCCCTCTGCCTCGTGGACAGAAGTTGCCTTTTATGCTCTAAATAAGGATCAGTTCAGTAGTTAGTAAAAGGAGGCTTCTCTCTTTCATAGCTTCAAGGATGTGAAAGCCTACATGCAGGATTACCTGGCACAGGTAGAGCTGTGCCACTTCCTGGACAAAGATGACAAGACCGAACTTTACACACTCTTTGTCAGTTGTTTGGAGGTAGGTCTGCTTGCGCCCTCTCCCTCCTCTCAGAGGTGCTGTGTGGGGATGTCCTGGCCCAATGGAATCCATGTGTCAAGAATTCAGGTTTCTGTAAACCTAGCTGAGCAAGTGTCCACATGTGGACTCTGTGGGGAGGAGTCGTATTCACCCAGAAAGTAAGGATGTAAAATCTCGTTTAATTAGTTAACCTGTTAAACGTTAAGTTTAACGCATTAACTGATTGGGAGGGGGGACCACTCCAGACGGGCTGTTTCTGGCCCATGTGGGCTGGGGCATCCATCCATCCCCATTGGGGGCTGCCGGTTTGGGGCTCTTCCCTGGATACCGGGTAAGCACTGGTTACCCCTTAACATTCCTACTAGACAGG